CAAACAAATTGATGAACGACTCAGTCAAAAAAGTCTCCAAGACTCTATTCAAAAGTTCAGATTAAAACTTGAAAGTCAAGTTTGCTCTGATCTCCCAAACGCTTTTTGGCACAGAAGACAACACATTGTTGGATTACCTTATGAAAAATCTTTCAATGAAAAGGATATCCCTACCAAAGCCCGTCCTAGCCAAATGAGTCAAGAACTTCTTGATTACTGTATGAAGGAAGTACAAGAATTATTGAACAAATCTCTCATCCGAAAAAGCCGTTCCCCATGGAGCTGTGCCGCTTTCTATGTCCAAAAGAATGTTGAATTAAAAAGAGGTGTTCCCAGATTAGTCATCAATTACAAGCCCCTCAATGAAGTTTTTCAATGGATCAGGTATTCCCTGCCCAATAAAAAGGACCTAATCCAACGTCTCGTTCATGCAACCGTTTTTTCAAAGTTTGATCTCAAGTCAGGATTTTGGCAAATCCAAATTGCTAAAAAAGATAGATACAAAACAGCTTTCACGGTTCCTTTTGGCTATTACGAATGGAATGTGATGCCTTTCGGATTAAAAAATGCCCCTTTAGAATTCCAAAAAATTATGAATGATATTTTTATTCATCTTACGAATTTTTCAATTGTTTATATTGATGCTCATTGGAAACATCTCATTGGAAACATCTCAATGTATTTGCTCAAACCATCAAGCATAATGGATTAGTCATTTCTTTATCAAAGTTAACCTTGTTTCAGACCAAGATTAGGTTCTTAGGTTTCCAGATTCACCAAGGAACTGTCATCCCAATCAACAGATCCATCCAATTTGCTGATAAATTCCTTGATGAAATTAAAGACAAAACTAAGCTTCAAAGATTTTTAGGATGCCTAAATTATCTCTCTGAGTTTTTCAAGGATCTTTCTCTTCTTTGTGCTCCACTACGCCAAAGATTAAAAAGGTCCCCTCCCCCATGGTCCGAGGAGCATACAAAAACAGTCAGAATCCTTAAAAGCAAAGCAAAAAACCTTCCTTGCCTATCTATTGCTGATCCAGAAGCCTTCAAAATTGTGGAAACTGATGCCTCTGAATTAGGATATGGAGGTATCCTAAAACAAAAAACAGGTGACAAGGAACAACTAGTTCAGTTCGCCTCTGGCACATGGAACCAAGCACAACAAAATTACTCTACAGTCAAAAAGTAAATTTTATCTATAGTTTTATGCATTTTAAAATTTCAAAGTGACTTACTAAATCAAAAATTTTTAGTTCATGTTGATTGCCAATCTGCAAAAACTGTTTTAAAGAAAGATGTTCATAACATAGCCTCAAAACAAATTTTTGCCAGATGGCAAGCTATTATTTATGTATTTAACTTTGATATTGAATAGATAAAAGGAGAAAACAATTCTCTTCCTGATTTTCTCACCAGGGAATTTTTGCAGGGAAAAGCAGGAGCTTAAGGGCGGTTACCATGCCTCCCAAGACAGGTAGAGGAGCCTCAGTTGCAAGCACAAAACCCCCACAAAACAAAAGATGCATATGCACAATCATCCTCTTCTCAGAACCCTTCCAAAAAAACCTGATATGATAAAGTCGAGGAAGATGAAGAAGTTATATGTGCTAGTCCATCTCCATTAATTACAAACCAGTTTTCAGCCCTAACCATAATTCCCCAACATGTCATAGACATGTCCCCAATCCAGTATGACCCCATCCAAGCATACTTACAATCCCAACAACCAGTTTTTCCTCCCCTTCAAAAAACTTATGCTGCAATTTCTTCAGTATCAGATAAACAAATTTCCTCAAGATCTGTTTCACAGCAAGTGGTGGTCAACAATCCCACTCTCAAAAAATCTCCCTATTTTCAAAAACCAAATTCATCAACCATTTGTGTGGTTGAAAAAGAACTTTTTAACCAAAACCCAATTTTACTTTCTCAAAATCATTTTGTCAAAGGTTTTCATTATCCAACATCAGATTTTCGGAAAACATAAAATTTTTATGAGTTTATTTTAGTGGACACTGATTCCATCAAAATTCGAACTCATTCAAAACCAGGTGATGAGTCCTTCATTTCTCACACCACATGTACCATTCAAAAAGTCCTTACTCCAGCAGCCTGGGGTAAAAACATCAATGCTCCGAGGTAATTTTCTCAGCCTCGCAACCCTCAAACTTTCAATTACTGGGACTATCAGGATACCTGGTACAATACCTTTTATTTCCAAAATCAGGATTATAGCCATTCCTGGCTTATCCTTTTCCAAAAGCATTTCAATCTAAATGTCCCTAGATGGTTCATTGACTGGTGGCATATGTTTGGTCCCTGCCAAAAAATTATCCCTGAAACGGTGTCCAAGGGATTTTCAATTTTCAATGAAAAATTCCAAGCTCCTTCTGAGCTTTCCGAATTTCCCAAATTATTCTTATTTTTTGCAAATTTCGCATTGTCATGGATAGTTCTATGGCAATTCCAAATCCTCAAAACCCCTTGTAATCTTCCTCTTCTAGGAAGGATTTTCAAAGTTAAATGGTGGGACCAATTCTCTATCAAAGATGTTACCCCAGAAGCAATTTCAGAATGGTTCTCAAAGCACCCTGCAATATCATGTTCTGGCTTAGGAGAGTCTTCAGTTTTCCTCCTATCCAAAAGCCAGGCCCAAGCAAATCTTTCTTCAGCAAAATCCCAAGTTGAGTATGAAGCCTTCCTCATGAAGGCTTTAGCCCAAGTTAATCCCATAGCCTTCTCAAAAATGGGCTCCAACAGAAGTGAAGGCTCAGGTTCTTTCCATGGTTCCCAAACAGATCTGGCCCAACCCAATGAAGATGACTGTTTTGGTATTTTTACCCAACAGCTCCAGTAAACAATATTCTCAAAAATCATCATTTCATTTCAATAAAGCTTCTGACCTCGGTCATTCAATGCCGTTGCATAGCGACAAAAAAAAAAAAAAAAAAAAAAAAAAAGGCAAAATCTACAGTTTAAAATTTTATTCAACAGTTCTCCATTTTCAGGCTTTTAGCACCTTTCGATGTTCATGACAGATAAGCATTTCAAAAAAAGGAATCCAAGGCAAGTCAGTGGCCATCACATCAATTCAGCCTTTCAAGCTTTGCACATGGCCTCCAGCATCATTCAGAAGACATCACCTCAAATCAGCCTTTCAGGCTTTGCACATGGCCTCCTATTGCATCCTTATCACCAAGGAATCTAAAGCTCCCCAAGGCTCCTTGGAGGCCCTATAAATAACAGCTCCACAAGACATTAGAGGCAGGCTCATTTTCAAGTTTAGATTTTAGATTCCGTTTCAAAAGTTCTCAGTTCAAATTGTAATTTTTAAGTTTAAGTTTTTAGTTTTACTTCATCCAAGGAGCTCGGCTCAGAACAAAAGTGTTGTATTCAAAGATCAAAGTTGTAAGTTGCAACTAGAGGAGGAAGAAAGGAATTTTGGAGTCAATTTATAGAGACAGGGCTATAACGGTCATATTGCAAGGGCAGTTATGGAATTATATTAGAAAATAAACTCACGCGCTCCATCTGTTGTCGGAAACTATGAAGCATGGACATGAACACGGGACATGGGTACGACACGATACGGATATGGCGACATGGCAAATTTCAAAAAAATAGGACACGGACACGACGGGGATACGCCTATATATATATATATTCAAAATCCACAATACCATAAATCTTACCTCCCTAAAAAAATACTGCAATAAAAGAAATATTTCAATTAATTAAGAACAAAGTAAAGTTATCAACAACTTTACAATTTCCATTTTACATACATCTACAAATATAATTGTTTTGATTTCTCTCTGTTTTTCTTGTTACGGTCTAAAAGTTTATTTAATTCCAGTACTGAGATGAATGAATTAAATAAAAAAATAAACATAATGGAATCATAAAATTTAATAAAAATAGAAATTCAGAATCTCGATCAGACAAAAGAGTTAAACTTTAAAATTATATTAGGTACCCCATATTTCTTTAAAAAATTACAAAATATACCCCGTCGTGTCCGGTACGTGTCCCCGCTGTGTTTGGTATGTGTCCTCTGTGTATTCCCCGCGTGTCCCATCCGTGTCCACCCGTGTCCAATAAAAAATAATTTCTGGACACTTCACAGAAATGTCAGACACGTGTCCAACACTGGTACAGGACCTTTAGGAGGAGTGTCCGTGCTTCATAGGCCGGAAATAAGCCGTAAAGGACTTACGGGGGTCAAACTACACATTTCTAATAGTTGTGGTACCGACTTGCTCCATTTTGTAGTACATGGAGGTAAAATGCTGATTTTTGATAGTTGAGGGGGATTTTATACTTTTTGCCTTTGGTAAATGTTATAGATTATAGTAACTGGACAAAATGGTCATTGTAAACGGCTCTAAAAATTACTTATTAATCTATTCTAGTAAAATGAGGGTATTATCGTCAATTTAAGTCTACAGGGCCTATTTGCACCAAATCAATAACATATGGGTGTTTTACACCACATATGAACTATTTTGCACTATATCGATAGAGGAATTTATTTGCACTTAATCTTTAGTTTTATAACTTGTAATCATGCAATGTTAACTACCAATCATACAAAGTGAATGAATCACTCACATTAATATCATATAATATTGTTATTAGTGTATGTCTAATATAGTAAATTAATAATAAAAAAACTTTAAACAACATTATTACCAAATAAATTTAAATATGTTTTAAATATAAAAATTACTTTATAAAATACATCACCAAACAAATACCATCCTTTTTAATAGCAATAATTTTGTGACAACCCTACCGTTACTGTTAAAAGTTCTTTCATCATTTTAACAACAATCTGTTTACAAAATTACACAGACGCGCAATGAGAGAATGAAAGAAAAATAGAAAATCTGACCTCCTTGAGAACGCAACAAAGAGACACGTGAGTTAACCAAAAAAGACAAAAACAAAGAGACACGTGTTCACCCAAAGTGCCTCTAAAACATCCTTACGTCACAGCCAAAATTACTCCAACCTTAACCTCTATAGACTTCAGACTCTTTCTCTACTCCACAAGTGTCTTCAACCTAAAACCCTCTCTCTCTCTCTCTCTCTCATTCTCTCTCTAAAGAGAAAGCGCAAAGACTGTAGATATTCGTGGAATTCGATCTCTTAATCTAGTAAGTCATACATTTTCCTCAACATTTATCTTCTATATATAGATTCTTACCAGATTGTCTCTAAGTTCTTGATTTAGTGCTCCAATCAAAGAACAAATGCCCAATTTGTTACACTTGAAGCTTTTGCATTCAAGAAATGTAAAATCAGAAAATCAAACAGCTGAGGAAATCAATTTGGGAAAATATAACGTTCCTTTAACTAAATGAAGCAAAGAATGAAAAATTTCAGAACTTTAAGCTTGAAATTCTTGAATCATAAACTCCAATTCTTTTGTGTTACACACACACACACATGTATGAATGTATGTATGCATATTAAACAAATTTTTTTTTTTATTGGATGAAAAGGAAGTAATGTTGTGTTTGGAATGAGGGACTCGATGGGTGTGGATTCAGAGTATATTGTTACGAGGAGTTTATTTGTTTATTTATTGTTTATTCTAAGTTTTAATTTTGTAGAATTTTTTTTTTTTTAATTTGATGAAAGGGCAGTACTCTTGAGTTTGGAATGAGGGACTTGATGGGTGTGGGTTCAGTGTGTATTGATACTAGGGGGAACTTCACAATATAAAAAGACTCAGATTTACAGTCATGAACTGATTTATATATCTCATACAGTTGCAAGATGCATCTCCATTGGAAGGTCAATGAGGTTTTGCCAAAAATTTATCTCACGTTCCTTTGTTTTCATGTGGACTAAAGGGTGCGTCGTGTTATCTTGCAGTGGATGAACAGCCATGTGAAGGAAATGATGGGGAAATGATAGAGAGTTCAAACGGTAAGGAGTTAGTTTCAAGTGAAGGAGATTTGGATATGGAGCCGTATGTTGGTATGGAATTTGAATCTGAAGAGGCCGCCAAGGTCTTCTATGATTCATATGCCACGCGATTGGGCTTCATCATGCGTGTTGATGCGTTTCGTCGGTCGATGCGTGATGGAAAGATTGTTTGGCGTCGACTTGTTTGTAATAAAGAAGGTTTTCGTAAGTGTAGACCTAGGCGGAGTGAAAACAGGAAGCCTAGAGCAATCACAAGGGAAGGGTGTAAGGCCATGATTGTTGTTAAAAAAGAAAAGACAGGAAAATGGGTCGTTACAAGATTTGTTAAGGAGCACAATCATCAACTGGTAGTTACACCTGCCAACAATCGTCGCAGTGTACTCCTGTCTCAAACACCAGTAAGTGCTTTCTAATTGAATGGAAAATCTTAAAGTGCTTACCATCCTAAACTAGTATTGCATACATCTATTATATTATCTAACTTGAATTCATCAGTTATCAGTTGTTTTGTTCATGGTTGTTTACAAACGTATGAATTCGTCACTGTTCAGTTGTTTTGTTTAGGGTTCTTTACAAAAATATGAGTGCATCATGCTGTTTGTTAAAAAATAATTCCATCTTTTATCTCTTTTTTTCTTTCTTGTCACACTGTTTACTAGATTTCAATTCTCTGACCCATAAAGTAGGCACATAAAGGTGTATTTATGATAGTTTATCCAAATTTGAACTTTGCATTGGCTGTTTGAAGTTTGTGTGTTCAGTCAATTCTGCTCAAGGCTGCCAGGGATGCATAGTAAAAAGATCTGGTTAATTTTGATAAAATCCTGTCTCATTCGCTTACAAAGATTGCTGTTGATGTACCTTTTTAAGGTTCACATTTCTCTCCTAATAGCGCACCAAACTGATATGCTGAATGTTAACATATGTTCCTTTCTTCTGTCTAACATAGTTGATATTGATAGTATATTAGTATGACCTACTTGAGTGGATTTTGGTTTAAATAACAAATTCACTGTTGTAGAGGATTTCCATAGAAAATGACTTAGTTCAAAGCCAAAAGATTGACTTACTCTCAAAGTTGATCAGAAAAATAAAAAAGGATAAAAAGGAGAATAAAAAGGATGGGGGAGAGAATGAGAGCCAGAAAATGAGAGATCTGACTGGGGCCTTGATGATCGGTTGCACCAGGATACAGTGCTCTATTTACAGAGGTAGGGCACGTGCTAGTCACGAGAGAGTCATCGCACCTATTAACCAGGTCGCATGTCATACCAATATCCTTTTCTTTGTCCGAGCGTGGATGTCCCGGTTCCGTGGGTTTTTGTGTTGCAGGAATTAGGATTAGATTAACTGTAAGTATAGTTGAACTACCTTAAATATAGTTGCTGTAATTATGGGATTTGATTAGCTAATTACTTTTACATACTTGCTGTAAATATTTTCCTTGATGGTAGCCACGTGTTCGGAAAATCTTGTAATATAAATAGGAATGAGATCCAAAGGGAAGGATAACTTCTTTCGTCAGAAATTCTGCTTTGACTCCTTTTTCTCTGTTTAACAGTTTCCATCTCCATCCCACTCCGATGAGCCTCTCATTCAATCCTTCGATGCCACATTTGACCCCTTTTCCCGTGCCAGACTATGACAAAGTGTACTGATGACACTTACCATAGTTGCTAAGGATGATGTCATTGCGCGCTGTGACACCACCCCTCCTACCCTGTGCTTAAACTTTAGAGTAGTCCCTCATAATGTTTATTCAGGATGTGCCGCGATTCACATCCTTGGATACCATCATTGAGAATTATTCTTAGTCTTTGCATTGGGTTTTGTTGTGATTGCCAATTGCTCGGGTAAAACCGCGGTGTTAGTTTACTCCTTGTGAAAACTTTGGCAAACAAATTATGTATTTGTTTTGCCAAAGTTAAGTACAAGTGTCCCCTACACCATGATCGTCTACCGCAAAAGACCTTGCTTTTACATTCATTGGCGTTTCACAACTCGGGCTATGCCGGAAACATATTGCCCTTTATTACACACCTTTCCATTCCGCCATGGAAGTACTTATTTATGTGATAAGTTGGGACAATATATTTAGACATAGCTGCGAGCAAGTCCCGCGAGAGATGGCCCCATACTCACGTGTACAAGCCCTCATGTTCCGTGTGTGTTGTTGGCGCACACATTGCCATACCCGCGCACCCTGTTGTGGTGCCCATGGAAATACCCGTATGCCCTGCTGTAGTGCTGGGGTGCCAAATTGAGTTGGGTTTGGACTTTCGATATATTATATGACTTATTTGTTCACCAACTATGAATGTTGAAAGGGATGCCCGCACAAAGGCAATTGGAGAGGGACGCCTGCGCTAGAGCATCCACGAAAGGAACACCCACACACATGATGCCCTCGTGATGGATTCCCACGCATTGGACGTCCTTTTCTATATTTCTCCTATTGATTTTCCCCCTGTTACAACTGTCTACCATAGAACTCCTGGTGTGCTTTCCACTTCCACCATGTTCTAATAAGTCCTTTCTCCTTTGTACTGAATTCATTCCTGTCAATCACATTTTCCTTGTTTGGTTGCATTATTCTTCTTCACTCTAAAAAGGAAAAAAGTTGCTTAGTAACCTGAGAAGCTTCCCAGGGAAAAAGAGAAAAAAGGAAGAAAAAAACAAAAACAAAAAACAAATATGGTGGTCTGTCGAATTAGTGAATTTATGTTATTAACTTCTATGGTAATCTTGCTCGCTTTAGAGCAATTGAGTTATCACTTTCTTATTTAAGCTCAAGTAAGGATGCTCTTCATGAGCTCGAGTCCTAGAAAAAGACTTGATCGGAGGTCAAACCAACCTGTCAAGAATAATCTGACTTAGCACATCACATTTAGAGACTGACTTCCCCTCTTCCACAGGATACATTTATTCAATATAATGACGAGGATATTCACCTATGTATGCCAAAGCTTAATTAGAGGCCAAGAAAGGAAAGTGAACTTCCGATACAACTAAAACCACTAGAGGTGCCACTTAACTATATAAAGAAATACTAGTTTGAGGTCTAGTAGGTTGGTTAGCTTATGCTATCATTTCTTCCATTTGGATTTTTTATGCTCCTAATGTTTTGGGGCATCCTGAGGGGAGGGGGGTTTTCTTCAGGGCTCGAGAGATGGAATAGATAGGGCTTGACAAATTTTTAATTTGCCACTGGGAAGCAGTATTGATGAATAGGGCGGGAATAATCGAATTTTGGTATCTGTCGTGCTTGAGGTGAAGGTACCTTTTTCGGAAGAGCCACGCCGAGAAACGAAACATTTCCGAACGACTGGTTATTGGTATAGTGTTGTTGTGTTTCCGATGTTGCTCTATCTTATTAAAAAAGCAAGGAGCGAAGCCGCTTTACCGAGTTCAATGCCTTTGATTCCCGAGAACTTCTACTCAATCCAATGGGAAAAAAGAAAAGAAAAATCCAAACACTTCTGGTCAACGCCTATCTCGGTCTTTACCACGAGTCATTTTCCTTGGCTAACAAGAATTTCAGTTTTGCACATATCTGTGGGTTCTTCAATTCCCGCAACAGGATTAGAAAGAAATCGTGCAAAGGGGCGAGCCAGATGCGGTGTGGACGTTAATGTAAATGAACCGTTGGGTAACCTTGTTCTTTTTTCAGAATAGAATCCAAACTGACTTTCAGCAGGAAAGGAGGCGACCTCTTCGTCTTTCTTTTCTTGCTCGTTTGTTATAAAGTGGTTTATTGTTCGATTCTCAAACTCACAGTAGTGCTACATAGTGTTGGTTAATTTACATTAACGTCCACACCGCATCTGGCTCGCCACTTTGCACGATTTCTTTCTAATCCTGTTACGGGAATTAAAGAACCCGCGGATATGTGCGAAACTGAAATTTTTGTTAGCCAAGGAAAATGACAAGATAGAAGTTCTTGCGAGTTAAGGGCATTGAACTGGTAAAGTGGCTTCCCATGCGTTTTTTTTTTTCAGTACGATAAAGTGATATTCGAAGCACAATGATACTAGACCAATAACCTTCTGTTCGGAAATGTTCTGTCTCTCAGTGTGGCTCTCCCTGAAAAGGTACCTTCACCCCAAGCACGACAGATACCAAAATTGATTATTCCCCCCTGTTCATCAATATTGCTTCCCAGCGGCGAAATAAAAACTTGTGCCCTATCTATTCCATCTCTCAAGCCCCGAAGAAAACCTCCCTTCCCCTTCAAACTCCTCAAGACTTTTTCCTGTGTCAGGGTTCTTGACTGAGGGTATCGGCAATAATGAAGATGAAAACAGTTGAGGACACCACGAGCAGTAAGGAAAGGGAGAAATTGCCTTTCTCACTGCAGAGAATGATTTGGGAATTCAGCATCTCGACCTCAAGAAAGCCTTCCTATGGCATGAAGAAAAGATATCAATCTCGGATAAAGCAGTCTTGGATGACTAGAGTGAGGAAGCACTCTAGTGAAAGTTGGGAGTTTATCATCTTGACTGCATATAATGACTTGTAATATATATATATTGACTGCATATGATGAGTCAGACTACCCAAAGGTTCCGAATGCCCATTCACGAAGTAATATATATTGAATATGGCAGGTTGCATAAAGTATAATTTTGTTCTTCTGGTTTCAAGATCAAGTTACTGGGAATTTATTGGCAACGGAACACTAACAAGGAGGCTTTTACCCTTTAGATCAAAGGGAATCAGTTGCAGCTTTATCAGCGACTTAGGTGGGAAAAGCACCAGTTGATATTTGGCATCAACGGCTTGGACATCCCAACTGTTTTAAATTCAAAAAAAGTTATTGATGTTTCTAGTTGGTTAAAGCCTACCTAGTTAAACTTATAATAAATCACCATTAAATCATGTTAAATGTAATTCGAATCAAAGTAAGCATAGATGGAACTTAACCTCTTCACAGGGGAACAAGACTGAAAGTCGGGGATGAGCTGATATGGCTCGGTTTCTGCTATGAAAGGTACTCGCGAACGATCAGCAAGTGAAGGACCGATCCTTTTGCGCCAATACTGTTGCGAGACTGGTACTTGGCGGCTCACAAGCATTTCATCATTCCCTCGCTCTTTCTTGAAGGCCCTTTCTACCTATTATTCCTAAGATTTTGAAGCCAAGAGTCACACTATATGGGAAGAGGTTACTAACAAGAAAGGGAAGAAGGTGACCCAGGGTCCCCCAATCACTGTCATCCAAGGTGAACCTTCTCAAGTGCATGAAACTGAACATGCTAAAGAAAGGAATGCTATTTCTAATGTAGCTATGTTAACTGATGCCCTTCCTCCTATAGTCTCAATAGTCAGACAAGTCCTATAAGGTGTCTGGAATTAAAGGGATAGTTTAGATAACCTAAGCTACCTACCTATTATGGCTT